CTTCTTTGCAGAAGTCAGAATGTCTCTTAAGTTCTTCAAAGCTCACGTCCACAACCACGAGTTTTGCGAAGGTTGTGATGACTATCGGCTATTGGCTATTGCGCTAGCTCGCTGATTCGTAGGATTACGGCGCAGGGCGGAACCATGCTGACTTCTGCTCCGGAAGTTTTTCTTCGCAGAGAAGCGCGCACATTGAGCCGGCTTTGCCGTTGCATTTACTCACGCTGCCTTGTGATCATGTCTTCTAAGAAGAACCGAAACTGGCAGAACCAAAGCACAGAGAATGGTTCTACCTCTCTCTCTGGGGCTGTTTCTCCTGCGGGGGACTCAGCTGCTTCTGCTGGGCCGGGCGTGGCGGCGGTGCCCGGGACTTTGGTGGTGACCAGCTTCTTGGAAAAGGGTAAATGTTTGAGATGGGGATGTCGTGAGGCTTAAGGGGGCGCAACCAGAGAGGATCGAAACCTCGAAGCACAGTCTTGGTCATTGGCCAAGGCTGGATTTGAGAGCGGTAAAAGAAGGGGACACCTCATTGGAGAAGTTAGGCAGAAGTGGGTTCTTTCTCGGTCAAGCTCCCTCTCTCTTTAACTTTTTTTTTTAATAGTTTTGAATTTCCAAGTTGCACTTGAAAGAACCTGGCCTCATTCGGTTGTTTTGTGCTTTGGAGTCGGGACCCACCCTTAGCTGATCAGTCCTCCTTCTGCTTTTCAGATGCAATAAATTGCACAGGAGGAGATGGCTTCTCTTTGTCCTGCGCGGCAGCTTGGGGGTTGGAATCCTGTACTTTCGCGATTGCAGCGCAGCTTCTTACCACTAGGCCACCAGAGCTTCGCCTCGTTCAGTAGTAAAGTCATAGGAACCCTAAGTCATATGGAGATGTAGTGGTCATGTATTTGGTTGCTGAATGAAAGCTGGAGGAGTTTAAAATCCATTAGCTAGCTCTACTATGGCGGGAGGAGGTAGCCTTTGCCTCTTTTAAGCATTTATGGCCCCAGCATCCCTAAGGCCGGGCGCCATAAGTCGAACGGACTTGTTGGCAGTGGTTATTAAACGGTGCAGCACTAGCTATAGTTTGAGCCCAAATCGAGCGGTCATAGATTACGTATACTGAAAAAAAAAAAAAAAAGAGAAAAACAGAAAATCCTAAATACTTCAATAAAGACTTGGATATATACTTCCATATCTTTATGGAAACGAAGCTTTGTCTCACATACTTCTGAACATGTTTTTAGGAGAGTCTGTTTCTTGAGGAACATTATGTTTGGAAAGGTGGCGGTTCAGTCGAAGAGTGGCAGCCTCCCAAGGAGATGGCCTGACACAGTGGTTGCAGCAGTGTGCTCAAGTGTGTCAGATTGCACGAGATAGGACAGGGTTCAACTCTGTTGTTCAGAGGGGGTTAGATGTATTCTCAACTCCAAGGCACCTAACAACAAAATACACTTCCTTTAGCAGTGAAGTTGGCTTTTTATTTTCTTTCATAGCATATGGTGTTTAAGAACAGATGTTAGTTAATTGGTAGACAGTGCATTCAACTATTAACCAAAATAGATCAGAGATTTTCACCACTTGGAAGGACAAAGATGTGCATTCTGCTTCCTTAACGACTTACAGACTTGGAAATCCTATGGGACAGTTCTAGTCTGTTCTCAAAAGAGTGGATATGAGTGAGAATGGGCTTGCTGACAATGAGTTTGGCTTTGGTTTCTTCTTACTAATCAATAAAGTCCTGTCATTTACTTTTATAAGACTATTTAAAGAAATTAAAAAAAAAAAGAGAAAAAGAAGCTCCCGTGTTCTAGATTGTAGAGCATTGCCTAAAGACTTTAAGCCATTGTTGCAGTCATTTGTGTCAGTCCATCTCATTGAATGTCTTAACAATCTTTTTATGACCCTCCTTTTCTAAGCATGATGTCCCTTGCAAAGGAATAACATCTCCTTGCAAAATGGCTAGTGTGAGAGATGAAGCTTTATCATCTTTGCCCCTAATGAGCACTCTGGCCTTACATAGGGTATACAGATTTCTTCTCGAATTCTGCAACTCAGATGCATCAATTCTTCTTCTGTCATCCTTATTCACTGTCGAGTTTTTCAATGCGTATCATGTGATTGAGGAAATCATGGTTCAGCTTCCATCTTTTTTTCTTTTGATTTTTATTTTATATTGGTTTGCTTACAAAGTTTGTAAACATTGTGACTGCTCCTTTCCTGCAGTTTTAATCCTCCCCCCCACCCCAAGGGAGAAAGATGTTCATTCTCCTCATGTGAGATGTACAATGTACAGCACATAACAGTTATGGTGAGTCAGAATTCATTCCTCAGGCAACGGTTTGTGTTTTAGTTGGTTTGGTGCTTCATATACATATCTCAAATCTTCACAGAAGCCTTGGGAGATTTCTTTGTGTACTTACCTGCAGCTGACCCTTCAGTGGGTTTTTACAGGCTGTTAGGAGATTTCCCAACCTTTTTCTTGAAAGAGAGAAAGGAGAATGAATTTGGTTTCTTCACTCTTTTGATAAAGTAAGAAATGTTAATTTTTCCAGGTCTGAACTAAAGGCCTGAATAGATGTTTGAGTCCAGGTGCTTTTCATTACAAAGCAAATTTCCTACAGCATAGCTCTTCTTGAAATAGATTTATCTGAAAAGTCATTTACTCTATACAGCTTTTAGCAGACTTGAGTTTTAATAACTTGAAAAAGTAAACTGGACTAAAACTAAAGGTGCCAAGGTTTCCGTTCTCATGCAGACCCTAAAGGTGATCTTAGAATGAACACAGTTCTTTCTTTTTCCTGTAGGGATCAGAGGACCACTGGTTCTGCCCTACATACTCATCCTCCTTGAACTGGATCCTTCCCATTGACATTTAAACGTGCTTGTCCTCCTTTAACAAAATTGAGAAGTACACTTTTTTATACTGGAAGAATGTCTGAACATTCCTTGAAGAAACCTGAAAGGCCCCTAGAGACAAGATCCTGATAGGGCCCTGGGCCTGATCACACAATGATAGGACCCTTGCCCCCAAATTCCTGAGCAAATTTCAAAATCTGTTTAATGACCCCTATAAAAACTGCCTGCCTGAGCACCATTTTGACCTTCTCTGCCTACAGTCACGTGGCATCCCTCTCAGGTCTACTAACAAAGGCCTACTTGGGACCAGCTTCTTTCTTCTCTTGCTACTGTTGTTTTTTGTTTGTTTGTTTTTCTATCTACCACCCACCACCGCCCTATTGACCATATTCTTATGTGGATCTGTCTCTGCTTCATCTCACATTCATTTGCCTTTTGTTATTTGGCTTTGATATCATCATCCTAAAGAATTGGTCCCTTCCATGGTTATCAATACTTTGCATATTGATAAAGTTAATAACAGCTTTTGTATTACTTAGCTTTTAGCAGTGTCACCTTAATTCATGAAGCATTTTCTTTTCTCATGTGTCTTGAAACAATTTTAGGTTTTCCCCCATCTTGATTAACGCTTTGTCCCAGTATTCTTGGTAGGCTCTTCTCCTTCAGTCTGACAGTTAAATGTTGAAGTTCTTCAATTTTTAGTTGTAAACTCTCTTTTTTCCTCCTCTTCTTGTTTATGTGCTTTTGAGTCAGAGTAGATTCATAGCTGACCAGTTATGAATGGGTTTTTGGAGACTGTAAATTGCAGGGTAAGAGGTGGTCCATCTTTCTCTTGAGGAGCAGCTGGTGAATTCAGATGGACTGCTTTTAGCTTGGTGGTTGGTTTCATTACTGCTTGGCCACCAGAGCTCGGAGTCAGTAAGGAGTTCCTCTGCCAACCAAAAGGTAGATGATTCAAATCCACCAGTTGTTCCAGGGGAAAAAGATGGACAGGCTACTTCCATGCAGTTGGCATCCTACGGAAACCTACACAGTGGTCAGCTATTACTTGATCCCAACATGGCAAATAATGAAATTGTGGTTAAGTTCAGTGGAGTTGAATATAACTTAGTGACAATGTGAAAGCCATATCTAAACCCTGTCCTAGCCTATGTCATCCTTATTGCTGACATACTCATACGCACTGCTGCAGTCACTGTGTCATTCCATCTCACTGAGAACCTTCTTCTCTTTCACTGACCCTCCACCTTGAAGAGCATGACACATGACATCTTTTTCCAAGAAATAGTCCCTCCTAACAATGTGCCCAAAATATATGAGATATAACTTTACTATCCTTACCTCTCAGTAGCACTCTGAACTTTGTCTAAGACATATTTAGGATGTGAGAGTGATCTGGCTGTGACATCCGTCACCCCATTGATTGCAAGGGTTAATTCAGCTGATCTGGCTGTCTAGGTTGGCATCCGCTTCCTCCCTCACTGATTTATGTATGTTCTACCCGAAGCTGCACGGTTGAAGAGGATGACCATCCCCAGTAGAAGGAAGACCTGTCTTTTGGTCAAGGGTAGATGAATAGTTATGCCCCCCTGCTAGAGCCTCCACACAATCTCTCTAAGCATATCTGTTTGGTCTTTTGGCAGTCAATGGGGTATTCAGTACACTAATGCTGTAACTCAACAGCATCGATTCATCTGTTATTCTTATTCATTGTCCAGTTTTCATATGCATAGCGGGTGATTGAAAATATCATGGCTTGAATTAGGCTTACCTTAGTTTTTAAACTGACAATCATTGTTCCTTAGTACTTTGGAGAGGTCCCTGACAGCAGATTTTCCCAATACAATATGTCTTTTGATTTTTTGACTGCTAGTAAGACGGGTGTTCATTGTGGATCCTAGTGAGATGAAATCATTGACAGTTTTAATTTTTTCCCCATCTGCCACATTCCAAAGAAAGGTGACCCAACAGAGTGTGGAAATTATCAAACAGTATCATTAATATCACATGCAAGCCAGATCCTGTTGAAAATGATCCAAAAATGACTGGAGCAGCACTTCAACAGAGAACTCCCAGAAGTACAAGCTGGGTTTAGAAGAGGCCATGGTACTAGGGATATTATAGCTAATGTTAAATGGATCTTGGCTGAAAGCACACAATACCAGAGGAATGTCTGTCTTTCATTGACTATGCAAAATCAATTTTCAGGTTTCATTGACTGTGCAAAGGCATTTGACTGTGAGGATCACAACACACTGTGGCCAACTTTGAGAAGAATGGGAATATCAGAACACTTGATTGTGCTTATGTGAAACCTATACTTGGACCAGGAGGCAGTCATCAGAACTGAGCAAGGAAGCACTACATGGTTCAAAATTGGGAACAGTTTGCGCCATGGATGTTTCTAACTCCATACCTTTTCAATGTATATGCAGGGCAGATATCTGGGAGGCTGGGCTCTATGAGGAGAAAGGTTTGGAGGAAGATGCATCAACACCTGTGTTAATCTGATGACACTACCCTGCTTGCTGAAACTGGGGAGGACCTGAAGCCCTTGCTACAGAAGGTCAAGGACTATAGCCTTCAATATGGATTGAATCTCAACATCAAGAAAACAAAGATTCTCACCACAGGGCTGATTAGCCCCATCATGATAAATGATGAAGAGATAGAGGTTGTTGACAGCTTCAGTTTGCTTGGCTCTACAATCAACACTCTTGGTACCAGCACCCAGAAAAGTAAAAAATGAATTGCATTAGGAAAGTCTGCTGTCAGAGACCTCTCCCAAAGTACTGAAGAACAACAATGTCAGTCTGGAGACAAAGGTGCGCCTGAAAGAGGCCATGGTCTTGCTATTGCTACGCATCAAAGAGCTGGACAGTGACTAGTGATAATAGAAGGAGAGTTGATGCCTTTTAACTGTGGTGCTGGAGAAGAGTATTGAATATACCATAGACTGCTACGAGAACAAACAATTTCATCCTGGAGAGGGTGAAACCAGGCTGCTCCTTGGAGGCAAGGATTCTGAAACTCCGTTTGACATAACTTTGGACATGTTGCAAGGCAGGGTCAGTCCTTGAAGAGGGACGTCATCATGCTTGGGATGGTGGAGGGACAGCACAGGAGAGGAAGACTCGATATTGATTGATTCAGTCATTGGGGTAATGGGGGTAGGCATGTTGGAGATAAGATTGGCAAGGTTTAGAACAAGGTTTAGAGCTGTTGTATATAGGGTGTCTATGAGTCGCAGGCAACTCCATGGCACATAACAACAACAACAACATAGGCAGATGATATGATAGTGTACATAGAAAACCCCAAAGACTCAACAAAAAATTTAGAACTAGTGAACCAGGTTAATAGGGCTTCGGGATATAAGGTCAATATCTAAAACTCAGTGGGATCCCTCCATAGTAACAAAGAGAACTCAGAGAAGGAAAACTTTTGAAAGCAATACCATTTACAGTAGCCAACTACAAATTGAGATACTTGGAAATGAACCTAACTAGAGACATAAAAGACCTTTACAAAGAAAACTACAGAACATTTCTGCATGACACAATAAAAGACGTAAATGGAAAATGTGCCCTGTTCATGGATAGGAAGACTCAATATTATAAAATGACAATCCTACCAAAAGCAATCTACATGTTGAATACGGTACTAATACAGGTATCATACTCATCTTTCAAGGAGATCGAAATGGGAATTTCCAAGTTTATTTGTAGAGGAAAGACCCTGAATAAGCAAAGCACTTCTGGAAAACAAAAGTGAAGTGAAAGGCATAACACTCCCTGACCTCAAGACATAATACACAGTTGTAGTAACCAACACAGCATGGTACTAGTACAATGACAGGCACATAGACCAATGGAACAGAATCAAGAACCTAGAAATGGAGCCATCTTTCTATGGTTAACTGATAACTTGACAAGGAAGTAAACCTACAAAATGGGGAAATGAAAACCTTTTCAACTAATGATGCTGACAAAACTGGACTACTACCTGCAGAAAGCTGAAACAGGATCCACATCTCATACCATACACAAAAATCAACACAAGATGGATTAGAGACCTGAGAGTAAAGCCTCAAATCATAAAGTTCATAAGAGACAAATTGGGACCAAGCTTAGAAGGCCTAGCCAGTGCTATAAAGAGACTGTAAAAGGATTAAATCTCTGTGCTCATCAAAAACTTTACAGCTGGATTCAAAGAAAGCCTCCTGTCAAGGAACAAACATTCAGCACGAGCATCTCAGACAAGAGTCTCATAACAAAAGTTTACAGAATGAATACTCCTGGACCTCCAGAAGAAAAAGACTGATAACTCAAATGCAAAATGGGCAAAAGACATGGAAAGACTTTTCACAGAGGAGGACCTTCAGGTGTCCAACAGACACATGAAGAAATCAGAATTAATGGCAGTAGGAGAGCAGTGGCAAAGCTTGGTAGGGCAGCGAACAGTGAATGTTGGAGAGGCTGTGGAGAGGTGGGAACTCTCATAAACTGTTGGTGAGATTGTAAAATGGTGCATCCACTCTAGAAGACAGTTTGACATGTCCTCAGAAGTTGAACATAGAATCTTCCTATGACCCAGCAATTGCACTGCTAGGAATATACCCCATGGAAATTAGAACTGAGACACAAGATTTGTACACCAATGTTCATAGCAGTGTTATTCATCATCACAAGAACATGGAAACATCCTAAATATCCAGCCACATTGAATGGATTGAAAAATTGTGGTACATTCACTCAGTGGAATACTATGCAGCATGCAGGAACAATTAGAAAAATACTGTGTAACTTAGGAGAGGTTGGAGAGCTTTATGCTGAGTGAACTAATGTGGTCTCATAAGGAAAAGTGCTGCATAAGACCATTGTAAAAATAGGACAACTAGTAAAACATAGGAACTCATCGGGGGAGGGCTGAGGATGGTAGGGGCAAAACCACAGTGTAGCACAGTTTGATGGGTGGATGGAAAGGGGAAAGGAAGTGGGAAGGATCTGGTAAAAAGACAGGATATAGATGGGCAAGATCCAATGTTGAGTAATTTTATAAATTATAATGCATGAGAATGATTGTATGAAACGCAGTGAGTGAAGAATAGTGTGAAACACAATGTATGAACTTTGTAAGTAAATCAATTAAATTCTCTCTTTAGTTAACACTTATATTGGTCTATCACTGAACCCTGAAAAGCATTTGGTTTTACATCTTTTTTAAAACTAGCAAGATTGAAAAAGTGGGTTTTTCAGGTTACAGTAACAGCATTCATGTGGTGATGTGAAATGAGGATTTTTATTTACTCTGAATAAATATAAGCATTCACTTCAGTTACAGAATAATACAACAGTAATTTTCTTTTTCTGCATACAGATGACAAAGTTCCTAAAACATTCCAGAATTCCCTTGTTCAGTTTGGACTCAATACTATGAAGTCTGCAAATATCTGTATAGGTCGGCCAGTGTTGCTTACCAGTTTGGATGGAAAGCAAGAGGTAAGAATTCTTTTCATTTGTTTTAGCAAAATAAGAGGCATTTCTTAGGTGTTTTTTTTTTAAATACAGGTAAAAATAAATGGGAAATGATCTACATTTTAAACTACACTCAATAAGCTATACAAGCTTATATAAGCTATAGGGAACTCTGGTGGCTTGATAGTAAGGAACCGTGCTGCCAAAGGTTAGTGGTTACAGTGCGCCAGTTTGATGGAGAATGACCGGTTGGCTCCTCCTGTGTGATTTATTGCCTCTTAAAACTCAGTGGAGCGTCAGCAATGGGTTGGTTCCAACTCAATGGTACTTACACTATATAATAAGTTAAATCTTCCTTTGATGTCTGTGACTACCATAGGTATGTTCCTAGTTCTGTCAAGTTGGCTCTGACTTCTGGTAATTCCATATACAACAGAATGAAATAATGCCTGATAACTGTGCCATCTCTATTTTTTTTGAATATTTTTAATTGATTTTCATATAATAATACCTTTACAATATATTTCATTCATATACATTGTTTATACCATCTTTATATTTCATACAATCATTCATATACATTCTATTTCACATTGTTTATACTAGTTTATTTACAAAATTCAAATACATTGCTTTTCACAGTAGATCTTTCTATTTCCCTTATCCTGCCACCCATCAAATTGTACAACTCCATGATTAATTCCCATCTCTTTTATCTTTGACATATTTGAGCCATTGTTGAATCTTTTTCATTGAAGATTTTACTTATTTTCACTGACCCAAACATGTTTTATAGTGCATAATCCAAAGTCATCAAGATACAAAAACTCACTGTCTTTTCACTAAGGAGTGTTTTGATTGTATTTCATTTAAGATTGATATATTTGTTCTTTTGCTGTCCAGTGTTCTTGGCCAGTTTTAATATATGCATGTGTATGAGGTGATTGAAAAATATCATAACTTAAGATCATGTAAACTTAGACCTCAAAGTGACATCTTTGCTCTTTATAATTTTAAAGAGGTCTTTTGTAGCACTTTTATCCAATGCAATATTTGATTTCTTAACTGCTGCTTCCATGAATATTGATTGTTGATCCAAGTCTAATGATATCTTTGACAGTCTCATTTATTCTCCATTTATCATGGTGTTTATTGGCTGTGAGAATTTTTGTGCTATCTACCGTAGTTTATTTGCTGTGGTTTGTATCAATCAGTTGGCAGCTCTTTGAGGCAAGGCAATGGGTTTTGCAGATCTCTACATGGATGTACCTAGTATTTTGCTTTATAAATTGGTGATAATCTTTTAATACTTTTATATCCTAAATCAGTTCTTCCTTGTTTCTGGATAGGTCTATACTGCTTGGCCTGTGTCAGGATTTCCAGGAGGCAAAGTTGGCTTGAGTGAAATGGCACAGAAGAATGTGGGAGTGAAGCCTGGTGATGCCATCCAAGTTCAGCCTATTGTTGGTGCTGTTCTACAGGCTGAGGAAATGGACGTGGCTTTTAGGTTTGACTTCTTTGGTGACTTTCTAGTTCAGTGCTTTCTAACAAATGTGATTTGTGTTAGAAATGTAAAGCAGATATATAATTTTGCATATTTTACTTAGTCACTTTAAAAATGTAAAATACACAGGTAAATTAATTTTGATACTATAGTTTCTTAATAAATGCAACCTGCGTTATGCGGATGACACAACCCTGCTTACTGAAACTGAGGAGGACCTGAAGCGCCTGCTGCAGAGTGTCAAGAACTGCAGCCTACAATATGGATTGAGGCTCAATGTCAAGAAGACAAAGATTCTCACCACTGGACCAATCGGCAGCATCAGGATGGATGGTGAAGAGATTGAGATTGTACACAGCTTTAGTTTGCTTGGCTCCATAGTCAACAGTCTTGGCACCAGCAGCCAGGAAATTAAAAGGCACATTGCCATGGGAAAGTCTGCTGTTAGGGACCTCTCCAAAGTACTGAAGAGCAATGGTGTCTCTCTGGAGACTAAGGTGCGTCTGATACAGGCTATGGTCTTCGCAATCACTTGTTATGCATCAGAGAGTTGGACAATGACCAGGGAGGATAGAAGGAGAATTGATGCCTTTGAGCTGTGGTGCTGGAGAAGAGTATTGAGAGTACCATGGACTGCTAGGAAAACAAACAGATTTGTCCTGGAGAGGGTTAAACCGGGTGGCTCCTTCGAGGCAAAGATTCTGAGGCTCCGTCTAACATACTTTGGACATGTTGTGAGGAGGGACCGGTCCCTGGAGGAGGGATATCATGCTTGGGAGGGTGGAGGGACAGCGCAGGAGAGGAAGGCCCTCTATGAGTTGGATTGATTCAGTGACTGGGATAATTGGGATGGGAGTGTCAGAGACAGTGCGATTGGCACACGACAGAGGGGAGTTTAGGGCTGTTGTACATAGGGTCGCTATGAGTCGCAAGCGACTCGAAGGCACATAACAACAACAACAACCAAAATCTTAGCATTTTAGCATGAATTGTTAAAACTGTTTTATTGTCTTTTTAAGTGAAGCCATAATACAGTGTCAATACTAGCAGCACATGTCTGTTTGATGCTAAGTAGTCAGTTGTGGCTTTGGCCCACTGTTTACAGACAGTGCAAGTGCAAGATGGTTGAGTGTTAAGTAAATTACAGATTTTATGATACAAGAACTCAATGCTATATAATTAGTGTGTACTCTGATACTCTAGATAAGAATAGTTATTATGCTAAATATTTAACAACATTTTTCCATCTTAGTTTATAATTAGATTCTTATTTTACTATGTTATAAAGAAGGAAGTTACTATAATTAGAAAAGCATAGTGAGTGATTGTATATTTTAATTAATTGATTGTGAAGTCTGATAAGATAAATGATCAATTCTATGGCACACTTAAATGATTTATTCTTCTTGTTATGTGCCAGCAAATTATCTGCGACTCATAGTAACCCTATGTGCAATAGCTCTGAACCCTGCCCTGAACCAGTCTCACAAACTAACACACCTAATCCCAGTTATTATGTCAATCTGTCTCATCCAGGGTTTTCTTCTCCTGCCCTGTCCTTCTATTCTTCCAAGCATAATGTCTTTCTTCCTGGTCCCTGGAGACTGGTCCCTCCTGGCCACATGCCCAAAGTATGTGAGGTGGAGTTTCAGAATCCTTGCCTCCAAGGAGAAACTTGGTTTCACCTTCTCCAAGACACCTTTACTAAAGGCAGTGCGAATTCAACCTGTTTTTGATATGATCAACATAATTAAAATATATCAGTCATCATTTTGAATATTCTATGGAGCAACTGGTGGCCTGGAACCACATGCCCTCAAGATTGCAGTGCACCTTCTTACCACTAGGCCACCAGAGCTTCCTGAACATAACTATTAGGGTTTTGACCAACTTTATATATACACAGATCATATCAAAACTTATTTTAGTATTAGAAACTTTTTAGAAATATCTTTATTTAATTTTTATTTTTTAAATTTTTTTTTGTATGTGTGTATATACTGTCAGATAGGATCTGACTGGTATAGGAGGAGATAGCCCCTCCTTCTCCAGCAGAAGATCTGGTAGATTCAAAACGCATACCTCTGGAATTGCAGTGCTATATTATTTTTAAGAGCAACAAAACATTTCGCATTATAAGCTTGATATATAATTGATTTTTTTTCCCTACCTTTACCTTCACAGTGAATTTGGGTAATTTCAGAGAATTTAATTACAATTTAAGGGATAAATTTTTATTTTTTTTTAAAAAAAGACCATTAAAAGAAAGAAAAGATAATTAGCACCTATCAAGCACTTGCTGTGTACAAGATACTGTACAATCATGACCTATGTAATGCTTGTTCAGGCAATATCCAACCACATTTAATTCCATGGCACCATAACAGTATAATCTCATTGCTGTCAAGTCAGAACCAACTCATAACTGACCCTTGAAGTGGATTTTAGAGCCTGTTAATTACAAGAGAGGAGATTGTCTATCTTCTCCAATGGAGCAACTGGTGAATTTGAACTGCCTGCCTATGAGTATCAGAGAAGGATATGGTACATATTTGATCTTAGAGAAGAGTACTGAATATATCCCATGGACTGCCAAAAGAACAAACGAATATGTCTTGGAGAAGATACAGCCAGAGTGCTCCTTAGAGGAAAAGGTAATAAAACATCATCTCACATACTTTTGGCATATTGCTAGGAGAGGTTATTTCCTGGAGAGGAACATATGCTTGGAAATGTAGAAAAGAAAATTCTCAACTAATTGGATAGACTCAGTGACTGCATTAGTGGGCTTGAGTGTGTCAGATTGTGAGGATGACACAGGATAGGACAGGGTTCAGATCTGTTGTTCATACGGTCCCTATGAGTTGTACTTGACTCTGACATCTAATATCATCTAGACATTATGAAGTCGACGGCGTCCTGCATACCAGTGTGTCTCATGTCTCTCGTGTATATAGAGAGTGATTGTATAGACAGAATTATGATAGTACAGTACTTATATAACCAGTGATACATATGTCTTAATAGTCATACTAAACATCTTGTGTTACTGGCTCATGTATATTGTTGTTGTTATGTGCCGTTGAGTCATTTGCGACTCATAGCGACCCTATGCACAACAGCCCTAAACCCTGCTCTATCCTGTGCCATCCGCACTGCCTCTGACACACCCATCCCGATGACCCCAGTCACCGAATCAATCCATCTCATAGAGGGTCTTCCCCTCCTGCGCTGTCCCTCCACCCTCCCAAGCATGATGTCCCTCTCCAAGGACCCAT